AACCGGCTGCTGTACACTCCGTTCTCAACTTCTGATCCATTTGCTCCCATTGGTCACACACAGAGAGCTCATCTTATAAGGTAAGATTACAAAACCATCTTTTAAGAGGATTTCAGTGAAAAATTCATAATTATATCTCATATAGTTCAAAAGTTATGGAAAAAAACGTATTTTACAGCAAAATGTAAACGGGCATTTAAAAATTACTACCGCCGGAACAGCACAACAGCGGTATATGCTGGGTATTTAAAATTCCGCGTCAACAGGTTAATTAATCATCCTCAAGTTATGATGGAGCAGGTAATATGACTTCCTTACATCAACCAAAATCAGTGGCGCTATTATTATGTTTTTCAGCGGAATTGGCGGCTTTGTTGAGTTCTGGTCTTCATGAGTGACCAATCAGCACAAAGTAGGTCTGCTGATAAGCAGCTAGACCTCAGTCTGTTCAGAATCCCTGTGGTAGAAGCATCGGCAGCCGCACTGCGTTGTTGCCAATTCTTATATGTTCTTTGTGTAGTGTTGTGGAATCCAATGTTCCACGATGCTACGTCTGGCACCACTCTATGTCGTTTCCTCGCTATCTCGCCCCTCCATCTACCACCACTACTTCCTACCATGGCACAGTACATGTGATTGGTGCATGCTCCAGCTGCCAATTCGGCTGAAACCAGTTATAGTTTCTTAACATTACATGCAGGTAGGTACCGCTTTACGACACTTCATTTTACACTGTTTCACATTAACGTCCGTTTAAAATAATAATGAAAAAATAAAAAAATATAAGAAGAAAATTTGAAAACATAAGTGTAAACGCAGCACAGGAACTGGGTACCTAGGCGGCGCTAGTGTCGGTGTCAGTTGCTTACTCCTTGTCCGCCAGTACAATGCATTATAATTCTTTCTTGATTTACACCGCTTCAGCTAACGACTCTGAGGAAGTGGAACATAACCCCAGCGTAAATTGGGGCCTACCTGTACTGTGTTTAACCAAACAGATGGCAAAGTGTTTTTCTAGTTTCAGTTAAAAAAATAAGGGTCATCTTGTATTTAAGTGGAAAATATTTGGGCCTACACATTACTCTTTATGAGTGTGTTTTTACACGTTTTAAGATTTTAGCAGATCGTTAATTTTAAGTTGTGTGAATTGTTTCCATTTTATATGTGTCATTGGCTGCCTTCCATATGTGGATGCTGCCTTCTTACCCATGCAGTTGTGACAAGGTACCCACTGATCATGATAAGATGAGCTGCTGTATTCTGATGTCACTTCAGTTGTCTGCAACGATTGATGTTCTGTTCCAGGAGCATCTGTTTGCCCACCATACAGACTCGAGCATCATGTCCATCTTTGCTGAGGCTTCAGCGAGCGCAGCGAAAGATCCTCGAACTTTCCATGTTATAAACAACACGGTGGCCAGTAAGTACTCGCTGCTTTCGTGTAATTCAAACACTTGGAAATTCTTTAAGCATCTGATTGTGTAATGCAGAGGTTCAGTATCATGTTCATAGAAACCTGTTATGGGATCTTCTTCTTCTAGTCTGATTATGTTAGTTTTTTCATGACACTTTTAACCTTTGTCATACAGCATTTAAATAGTGATTGTTACCTTTGCTGGTTGGATTTAATTCTTGGCATTTAAATAAAGAGATGCATTCTTATGAAAAATTACTCATGTCTTCTTAACCATTGGCTAAAATTACAATATAAAATCTGTCCTCATGCACACATCTTAGTGATAAGCCTAGAAAAACATTTCTTTTCTAAATACCAAGTGTCCGTACATAGAAAGTATTATTTATTACATTTTGCCTCAAATTAAAATACATAAATAATTCTTTGTTATTACTCATGCAACGAGCAAAAACTTCCTCTGAATTATTTATTTTGTTTTGTGGGTGCACACATAAACCAACCTAACATCTTGTGCTACTGAACATAGTCGGCGTAACCTTTCTGCAAGTGAAAAGTGCATATCAACACTGCCTCTGCTTTTGTTAGGGCAGTGCTGGTTGTGGCCGAACTCTAACCGTGCTCATTCTGTAGCCTCAGAGGTTGGTATCGTCATGCACTCTGAGAACGCATTTGTCTTCCACCTTAATGTTTATCTACAAAATATTTATATAACCTACCCACTAATTGAATAATTGTTCTTTGAACTCCTGCATGCATCAAGTGAAAATGTGGTTATGGAGGTTGTATGTTACAGGTACACCTCTGCCCCATACATCTGCGTCATGGCTGTCTGTGAATGAAGAGGCACTGTTCGCTCTTGCTTACAGCACTGGTCCCATTCTGCTCGTTAGGATGGATCCGTTATCTGGCATGGTGTCAGTCAATGAACTGAAGCAAGAGACTATGGTGCCACGTTTTCTGTCTGGCATAGCTGGTGCTCTGAGGTGAGTGTGAGTTTTGGAATCTATTGTATCTCACTGTTAGCATACTGGTCACATGTTGGGTCATCATCGTCGTCGTCATCATCATCATCATCATCATCATCATTATTATCAAAATAATAATATACTACCGCCGATATTTCCATCATTGTGGGTCATCTTTGTCCATTATTATTTGTTCCATCCTGCCTACTGTCGTGTTCTTGAGCTTTCTGTATCGTTTCTTTGCTTCCTCTCTTTTACATTCTTAAATGTCTCCCTTTGCATCATTATCTGCGTAGTCACCACAACTTTTGCTTTGACCCTTTCTGCCATATATCCACAAAAGGTGCCTAAAACCAACATGGTGCACTGGTATAACAAAACACCTGAGCACCTTTTCCATCTTTTCAGATATTTGAGGTTGAGCTCCTCAGTCATCCACCCTTTTTTTTATTCTTACAGTAATTCCTGACAGAAATTTGACTTTAGGGAGCGTTTTTTCACCCTGAAAACTACAGATGGTGGCAACTTGTGACCGTCAGTGGTGATTGCCAACATCATGGTATATTGTTGCTTATTCACACCTGTGATTTTAACTAGAACTGTCTTTTTGTCAGCATGTTCAATAGTGGTCTGTTTTGGAGTATTGCACCATATTGGGGTTTGATTAGTATTTCCTATTTGAGAAAGAAGGTAGCTGTGTTTCTTTCATATCAAAATCACATATTCTGAAAATTAACAATTTTTCTTCATACTGTTTAAGTAGTTCCTGAGAAATTATAGTCCCACAAATCAAAAGCTGCTGATGCTACAGGAACCATTGAACCCACCTGTAAATATCCTTGAATTCAGTTAAAGGAACATTGAATTTTTATGCTGTTTTAGAAGCCTCCAGCTGCAGTATTTTGGTACAAACTGCATAACCAGACTTTCACAAATCCATGTCACATGCATGGAGTTAATGTTGAATTAGAGGGAAGGCACTTTGGTTGCTGCAAAATGCCCGCTTACTTTTTGGTACATTCTTTACCTTTTTATTTTTGTTTTACACCATTCCCTAATGTGCTCTTTGTTCACATAACATTTATGACCTACAGGTATTTCTCTGCATATTGAATAACTTGCCAATTAAAAATTGTGGTGTAACTCAATATCTTGTTACCAGCAGCTAGGGTGTATTAACTGTCGCACACAAAAACCAACAATTCAGAAGATGTATGCAGACAAACTGAGTGTGTCAATGATTTCTAGTTATGAATTTTGCATCTTCCGTTGTTCTTAAAGAAAAGCTACCATTCTGCCTCTTATAAAGACATCTCTTAAGTAAGGGACTAGTTCACTTCTCACCTTCTGAACTCCAAAGAAATAGTTATCAACTTTAAATCTGGGACATGCTAAGATCTTAGTGTTCATCATCATTTCCTTTTTTGAGAATGAAATTAATGTAATTAAAATAGGCCATCAGCTTCTTCTTTTACCAAGCCTAAATGTGTTGTCAGAGTTGAAAACAGACATATATAATTTTATGGTATCTTTCAGGAAATCATTTGGATGTTTGAGGGTAATGAAGTAGCCCTCATCTCCTTTCTCCTTGAAACCGAAAATTATAATGTCCTTTTTCTTATATTATCTGCACTTTGTGGTCGACAGCATCATGTCTTTCATCCCATCTTATCGCCAGTGTAGTCTGATTATAACCATTGATCACAGAATTGATAGTTTTATTCAGAAGGTCAAACTTGGGCCCCAAACTATCAGTCTCCATTCTGATGTCATGGTGTCAGCTGTCTCCAGTGAGTGCTCCTTCAGCAGCCTTAAGATTGCCTCAATCTTATATCCCTGGCTTTTGACATACTCTAATATTTGATCCAGCTTCAGTTGATCAGCTTGTGGTCCTGAATTCATTTCCATTCCTCCCCATCACTAGAGGCATCATAACCACCAGCTCCTCATAGAACTTAGTTATTGAAGAACTGTCTGATCAGCACAATGCCACATTCCCTTCTTTCTTAAACCCTGTCATCAACATACCACTTGTGGCAGTATATACTTCAACAGTGACACACTGAACTCATCTGTTTGCCTACACATCTACAGCGCAACTCTCAATATATTTATATAGGGTTAGGATGAGGAGGATCAGATTGGGGAAACTGGGCAATCATCATATATATGGCTTTTTACTTAGCACTGAAAATGGAGGCAGTATACTTTGCTGAAGCATTAGTATACAGTTGAAAGACTACGTGGTACAACAGCATAGAAGACCACCACCAATAATCACATCAAAGAACATATATTTGAAATGCGTGTGCTCAAATATGGATCTTGCCTTTCCGCTGCTTTTACCTTTGCCTTCTGTTACCTGAGTTTGTTAAATTTAGTAAATGAAAATTGTATTTATACTGAGAGCTTAAATCAAATGCAACTGACGTTATGGGTGCAGGGGCAGAGCAAGTGACAGTGACATGGCGGTGAGTATGGTGCTGCATTCTGTTGGCCTCGAGACGTATTTGTTCTCCTTGAGTCGTGACGGTAACCTGCGCATGTGGTCATGCAGTCGTGCGCAGTGCATCATGGTCACGGACGCGCTGAACAACGTGGCTGAAAAGGGTCGGAACCTAACGCAAGGCAGTAAGTTCTGCTGTTCATGTTCAATTTAAACCCATCTTATGTGAACAAAAGTTTTGTATCTATTACTAGAAGGTTTCACTGTCATAACGTTCTGAGCTTGATATACTGTCATATTCACCAACCCATAAGTTAGCTGAAGAATTTCCGTCAATCTGATTCTTCTAGCACATGTACCACATCACAGTATATGTACAGGAGATGAATCCATGAGCCTAGTGTCGCTGCCTGATCAGTGAAAATAGAAACTCACTAAACCCAAACATCTTATCAGTGTTTTGGTTTCTGTAACTAATTACTTGGAAGGGCATGGTGTAACATGATGGCATATCCTTGGCTTCCCCACCCATCACAGATGCGAGATGATTTTAATTCTACGGCCGTAATAACTTGAGATACATTCAGTTCTGTATCTGACTTTATTTTGTTTTACTATGTTAGAAGGCAAGGACCCTTGATATTTTGTTAAATTATGTTATGTTATGTTATGTTGAGAGAGACTCTGTGTTAATTTTAAGACATTTTCAATGTAGTAATTGACAGTATCATTGTTGTGGGAGCCCTAATAAATTATTCAAACAAGAAATTCTGAAGAAAATCTAGGGTTAAGGATTAAGATTTGATATGTTAACAGCTGAAAAACCTGTACAGTTAAGTGAAGCTGCAAATTGTAAAGTTAAAGGTCTATGGTTGTGTTTCTGTTTGCACAGCTCAGAGCCATGTCCTGCGCAAGGCAGTGGGCAGTGACAACCAGCTTTACCTTGGAGTGTTCCTCTGTTTTGCTTCTGAGTCTCAAGTGTGTGTCCTGAAACCTGTGAGTGAACTTGGAGTCTTCAAGTTGATACGGCAGTGCACGGTGTATGCTCCAGATGTAAGTTCCCAGTTCAGTGGTGACATTGGGTTAGATAGGGGAGACAGATGGTTACATCGAAATGGAGATGGGGAAAATAATATTCACGTTGATCTTACAAAAGTTATTCAACTCTTCATGTTTGTTACTGACGATCAGTTTTAGTATTGGCAGTGCCAAACCTTTATGTTTTATTGACAGACCTATGTCAATGCATTAATCTGTAATTTTGCTGAAGAGACTGTGGGAAACCATTGTGTTGATTTTAATCAGGTACTTTATGAATACAAGTCTTTGTCATTACTGGTACAATAACCTGCTTATCTGAAGAGAAAAATATTACATTTACAATACCCAATGAATGAATAAAAAGGGGATGTGCCCATTAGTGACCCTAGTACTGCAGCCATCTGTGGTCTGTTATGATTCCCTGCCTTTGCTGCTTCAGGCCTCTAGCAATCCTAGATATGAAATGAAGCACAGTAGAGCAAAGCAGTCCAGTCACTTGATAATCCTGTCCTGTGTTTCAGCTGATTCTCCTTTGTCTTCATACAGCTGAAGTCTCTAATGTAATGAGTATTTTTTTAAATGATAAATTTCATTCAGCATCTCATGTCTTGCAGAATGACCTGGTTGACTTTGCCCTTGGTAGAGGGCAGCTGTGGGCTGTGTGGCGGACAGCACAGGGTGATGCAGCGGTGTCTTGTGCTCATCTGGATAGCAGTTCCCCAGAGTGGCAACCCGCTATACTGGAGCAGCCCCCTGAGAGAGATTATGTAGTGACTGATGTTGGAACAGACCCACGTCAGGCCTATGTATCATACATCTTCCACCCTGGTCAGTTTCCTCTGACTGTCATTGCAAAAGCACTTGGTGTAAGTTATGACACACACTCAGTATTTGTTCTGTGTTTACAAATGGTTTGAGCATTTTCTACATTCCGTTTGCTATGACTGTTGTATTATTAGAATGAATAAGGTTGGAACAGAATGTCTGGACTCAAGGTAAGTCACAAAGGAATGGAGAAAATTACGTAATGAAGAGCTTTCCATAATATTGTTGGAGTGATAAATCATTATTGTATAGTTTGTAGTACAAATGGAAAAAAGCATTTTGCTTTAAAAACGTTATAGATAAAAACCATGTGGGAGATTTGAGCATAAGTGGAAGTATAAGACTAAAATATGTTTGAAGGATTAATTTGGGATTGTGTGAATTGGACTGAATAGATTGCAGATAAGATTCAGTTGTGGGTTTCTGTGAAAATTGTGATGAAGCGTTGGCTTGTGTAAACCTATAAAATGTATTTATCCGTTAAATAACTATCAACTTCTGATGGCAGAGCCTAGAGTTTGTTTAGTTTCGTTAAGGTAGTTATTTCAGTGGCTGGTGGGCAGATGGGTATTTTTAAATGTACAGGTGTCCGAGGAAGAACTCTGGAGTTTTGGTTATAAACACTTATTCATTGCTTTGACATAAACATTTCTTATCAGCGAAAACTAGTAGAAAATGTCGCCATTGATGAGTGGGTGGGTACTTATGAAATTAGTGAAGTCAGTTGGTCAGTCGTAAATTGTGTGGATAATTAAGTAGCCAGTAATTTTGTTATTGTTGTGGCAGATTTTCCGGCGCTCCTCCCTGCTCTCTGACACGGCAGTCTCGGTAGGTGTCTTGAAAGAACGAGTATGTGTGGCTGTGGAGGCAGAAATACAGAGTGAAGTACAGGATTATGAGCTGAATGATGATGACTATCTGGAGGTTGCCAACCGTTGCTGGTTGCGCTTCTACTCTTGCTGTGTTCAGTATCACCAGGCAGGGGCTCGACCTGTTGGCCTGGTGCTGTTGGATCAGTCTGGGGTCTTGCTGGTCAAGAAACAGCAGATCTCTCTTTTCAGGTTTGTCAGACAACAGTTGCATATGTTCACTAGGCCACCAGCATGGGGTTATCCATTGTGCTTAATGGCAGTTGAACTTAGTACTGTTTCAGTCTGTCTTATTTCTTGCCCTTGTGTTTTTTATGTAGGCCGATGGATTCGCTGGAACATCTGCTGCTGGCAGGACCTGACCAGTGTGTTCCACAGCAGTTTAGGTCAACACCATTCCTCAGTGAAGATACTGATACTTGTGCTGATCTACTCCATGTCTTGTCCGTTCTCGTTAGCTTGGAGAACCGGTTGCCAGATGAGGTGAAGGCGGCGTTTGAACGAGAGTTGTACCAGTTGAAGATTCCAGACCAGATTATTGCTGATATGGCAAGGGAGCTCATGTCTGGTGATGACATTGTATGTATAATCACCTGGTTGTTGTTATAATGATGCTGTATCAACTGCAGAATTTATTTAGCATGGATTGAGGTATGAAGGTGGTTACAAATAATGAATTTTGGAAGTACATCGAAACTTACTTTATAGTTCCATATGAACTGCTGAGGTTGTATAATATCGAATGAAATATGGTGGGATGATTACAAATAAAGAACTTGCAATGCACAGGAAATCACAGTTTACTTTAAAGTACTCTCCAATGCAAAAAATTGTGGTTGTACAGTTACCATATCTGTTCACAGTGGGAAATCTTAGGATTGATTCACGCTTTAAAGGGTATCTCTCCTGACTAGTTTTCTGTGTTTGCTTCAGAAAAATGCCAGAACAGTGCCTTAGAATAAGCTGTGAAGTTATCAGAGTTTACCTGGGAAAACTGAGAAAGACAACAGAACACATCAGCCAGGACAGCTGTTCTGTTGATATGGATGAGAAAGTTTATCACAGGAGCTTACCATTGCGTTTTTAAGCCATTAACACTTCAAAATCTATTCACTAAGATCAACTTTAATATTATGTTCCTAGGTCTACCAAGTGGCTCTTCTTTGTAACAGGTTTTCCAGTTACAGTAACATGTGCTGTTTATACTTTTCCCAAACATCCATTTCATTGTTTATTTGATCATTTTATCAGTAATACATAATAGTCTGCTGATTGGTCTTCCATGATCAGCAGATAGTCATGTAGGTGATCAAAAGCCCCACTGCTTTGTTGTAATCTCTACAAATGCATGCTGCCATCAGACCATACCAATTCACATCTACACAGTCTATTTCCCTAAGATCTGAATTAATGTTGTCCTCTTATCTATGGCTCTGTCTCTCATACATTTTATCACTCTCTATCAAGTTTCCCAACCAGATATTCTTATTTTTCATGTTATGAAGTTATAATTTCAGGTGCTAAACCAGCAGTTCATGTCAAGCCTCCGCAAGAAGCTGGAGTATGTGAAGGACATCTACCCTGCCATGCTGATGCTGATTGAGGCTCTCACCCTGGATATTGGGCAGCCAAAGGAACTGGTATTGGACGACGTCAGTCCTGAGGCATCACGACTGATTCTGTCAATAAGCCACCTGTTCAGCAGTCATCTTGGTATCAGCACCATTGCACAGTCCCTGCATCAGATTGCAGTTGTGCGGTAAGTTGCGCCCCTCTGATTGGGCAGCATCTCACAGGATATGTTCTTGTCAGTTTTTAATTCATCATCACCTAACTGTTTTATTGTATGGATGTATGAAACATTGCCCCTTACTTTGACGCAAGAATTTAAATTACAGTGGAACCTCGATATGACGTGGGTTTCAGGGTACAGCTAAAGTACCAGCATTATAGCTACCCACATTATATGTGAAATTGACATTTATCTGATTTTGGAAACTCTGATATTATGTATATTTGTCCTTGAGGCATTAGAGTAAGTCTTTGGAGGTAAGTCAAGTTACATGTGCTGAATTTTTACGTAAATATGTAATAGGCAAATTTGTCTTAATCGAGAAATGTAAGAAACAAAGTGTAAATGTACAATAACTTTGAATGGTGGCATCAACTCTGTAATTACGGATTCTAAAACTGTGTCATTATGAGTATTAATGTATAATATTAAGTGTACATTATAACTGTGACAAATGTGTACAGTACAAAGGAAAATGTACTGAAGAGCCAAAACAGTGAAAATGTTGGTTGCATTTGTTGCAGTAGTAGATATTTTTTCTCATGGCTGTTCCACAGATAAACTGGTTTCCTGCAACCTTGTGCTTCATAAACTATAACCTACAAACAGAAGTTCCTTGTAATATGGTCACAATTATCTAGATGTTATATGTCTTTAAACTCTGTCATATTACATGTGGCATGTTGTATTTTTAAGAAATAGACTGATGTTAGTAGTGTGTCATATTTTGTTATCTAGAAGTGTTCATTTTAATTTATTCAAGTCCTTGCTTAAATCGATGACTTGACCTGCAGCCATTTTATTTTTATGTATTTTTGTTGATTTGACAAGGATGACCCTTTGTGTTCTTCTCCTCGTCAGGTTTTCCATCTGCCGCAACCTGCTGCTCCTACAACAGTTGTTGCTGGAGTGTCACCAGAAGTTGTCCTATTCAATGGATTCTGCTGGGGTGGACACTATACGATCTGTCCTCCTTCCTCGAGCAGTGGTGTTGACACAGGCATACTATGTCGTCATGTGGGTGAGCGAGACCCCAGCAACGGCCACATTTGCATCCACTATCTTCAGCAGTAGCTTGCAGCGCATGGCTGTACTGAAACTGAATGAGGCTACAGGTCAGTACTTGCTTGTCTAACAGGTGGAGAGTAGAAGTGTTCTTTGATTCTCTTCGTGGGGGCGGTCCATGAGCTTAAATGAAACTCCACATATTCCTAACCTTGGGACTTCATTGAGGAGAGTAGTCATTTTGAAAATGGGTGTCTTCTGGGTTGTTGTGCCATGTAGTCTGGTAGATGTCCACTAACGTTTCAGAACTCCTCCATCGTTACTCTGAAAGATGGTAGTGAAGACAATTCATTATTTACTTAGTAGGATTTGAGGTTCTCACCAAGAAGACAGTCATCTTCATAATTTACTTGTTTGGACACAAATTTTTAATTTACTTTAATTTTAATGTATCCCTCTTCTAAATATCTTAACCCTGTTCACTAAATGTAAAGCTTTCCACATTATTGAATGACTTTCTTTCTTCAAGTATGCACCACAAGATTATGTAGTGTTAGATTTGTTATGTGAAGTGTGTGTTTATAGATAATGTGTAATGCTGCTTTTATAAAACATACAAATGAACAAGCACCAAGAACCACTGTTCTGCTATATATTGCAATGTTCTTGCCCTGGGAGCAGTGTCTGGTCTTAAAGTTGGACAGACTTTTGCGCCTAACATCGTCTGTTGTTTCATTGGTGTTCAGAAGAATGCCACATTGGGTGGTAAATATGAGGAGACTAGTACGATTTGAGGTTCTCATGGTGGTAAGTATGAAGATGGCTGTCTTCTGGGTTGTAGCACCATGTAGTCTGGTAGAAAGGTATGCTGGTGTTGGAGGCAGCAAGGACCTATGAAACTCTGGTAAACTTCTACTAGACTACGTGGCACTACAACTCATAACACTGTCATGTCCATGAGGAGACCTTCTCTCAGATAAGCAGAAGTGTGGGCAATTTATATGTTTCAGGAGGAAGCATGGTGATACCATGCCACTCTCAGCACAGAACTCTCACGCTCCTAGAGCTGTTTGTGCAGTCATCAGGCTCAGTACATGCGCACTCACTGCTGTCGCAGCTGCAAATAGACGAAGAACTGCTACCTGTGTGGCACACGTCCATGCTCGCCTACATAACTCTCATAGGTAAGAGTTGTGTTGACCTCAGTCAGGAATGGCGTAACATGAGTGCCAACCCATAGTCAGAGGTAATGGAAGGTGAGGGCAGTGAAAAATTCTGTGCTGGTTCTGTCATATCTGGAACCCAAAACCCTGAGCATGTGAGCCCTGTACTGCTGGTTTGAGTCTGTACTACATGTACTATTTATTCTTTTACGTCCCATGGATGGATGGTGTGTTGATGTCTTTTTATTCTGGGACTTTTACTTTTTTACTTTGTCCGGAGATAGGGATTAGCTCTATCTAGTGGGCCCAACTGTGTAGGATCCTGAAGACGGAGATAGAGTCCCATCTCCGAAACTTCGTTTTACGTTTTATATTTTATATTTTACTAGACGATGGATAATATCCAAGGAAATTTTTATTCAAATGACTCTTCACCAACGTCAAGAAGTTTTAGATTTGATATACACGAAATATGTTGGCCATAGCCTCAAAGCTTTTTACTGGTATTACGTCTGTGGTCTTCTAACCACCTTAAATTGTTCCAACAAAATTAGCAGGTATATAACCATACCAGACTTTGTTAAACAGGCATATCAGTTGTTGGTAACAAAACAACAGCATTTCCTTTGTATACTTACCAATCCATCGTTCATAATTCTCCTGTCTTTCAACACTATATAATCTGTGCAATTTATGAAGACATAAAGAAATCAAATGGTACTTAGTGTGTTTCATGGTCACAGGTCAACTGGTGTGGCCGGTTTGCCGCCATTTTGTGTTTCCTGAGTTCCTCCTGGCATCATGCCAGCACCTCCTGATACAGGAATATGTACGCCTGTTGCATGGCTGGTGTGAGTGGAACAATTGCTCTCGTAAGTTCCTGCTGGGCTCTGCATTGCTTGACATGGGTGAACCTTATAAGGCCTATGACCTGCTTGTTCAGGCTGCAAAGGGGATCACCACAGATGACTTCATGGCTACCAAGCTGGTGCCCTCTGCTGGCACCCTTAGTGAGCAGCGACTGTTGGTGCTGTACTACCTCAAGGTATGTGATGGGTTGTATATTACAATACAGTCCGAGTCATGAGTTGTAACCTACTTTCCTTTTTCAAGGAGTAAAGATTACGTATAAACAAAATATGAATGATAAGAATTTAATGGATATTTTAAATTAAAGTAAATAATCTTAAAACTTTGCATACCGTGTAGTGTATTAGAATAAAAATAAGCAAACAAACAAACTATTAAACACTATAAAAAAGACACTAGTGCCATACACGTTTCAACCTCAAGAGGTCATCATCAGTGGCAACAGGGAAATTAATTAATTTAATCAAAATGGTTTGAAATTGGTCTAAATATGGTTTAGAAAACAAATAATGAAGTGGAGTATTTTACAAAATCATATCAAGCAACAGGAGTTGAACTCTGCACTTAGTTATTGATCCGATGGTCCGGTGGCCATAGCTGGTCTGCGGCAAACTGTTTTTGCGTCATCCGTACCTGTGAACTCCAACAAAGCGTGGGTGTTAAAGTAAATAATATTGCATCCCATATCACCATGGAATGTCAGATTGTGAACGGAGGAAAATACCTCAAAATATGGAGGATAGCTGTAAATATATTTATTAAGAGGTAGTGGACGTCTGACAGGAGGTGATCTGCAGCTTGGAAATTGGGTGTGGGGGCTATCAACTCTCTCCAGTATACAAGGTTTGAAAGGTATTCTTAACACATCACATAGGTCCTTGTTGCACTTGTGTGATGTTAAGACCATTGTTGCACTATTATTGTGATCAAGAAAATAATGATTATTAGACAAATGAGACTGGTCCAAGAAACCCTAGCCAAGAAGTTGGGCTTTGTACATTCAATCTAGCCAAGCCCAGGGCTAGACGCCCCTGTAGCTTTACATTCCTGACCTTTTCCCAACATTCTTGCTACGTGGGGCTGAGCCTCCTGTGCTAGATGCTCCAGGGGCTTTTAAATTGTATTAAATGATTGGCAGCTCATACATTAACAGTTAACACATTTAGTGGTGTTCTTTTCTGTGGCCATTGAAATCACTGAGTCAAGCACTTGTGTTACTGTTTCCCAAAATGGGCCTGTAGTTTGGTCTGCTTCAGTATCAGACACCCTGTCTTCTTTCAGTTGTTGAGGATACCTTCCAGTGGTGAGTTTTTGTGACCATGGTAATGACCTTTGGTCTGCATAAAGGGAAGGATATTTCCCAACCAGCTGAGACACTGAGTGACTGTTTTCTATGGAATCTGGAGGGTTTGTAGTATCAGCACATGGTTACCACCCTGCTACTAAACTGAAAATTTCAGTATCAGCATTTTCTGTTTCCACGTGTTTGCACTAACAACACTATCACCACTTTTGTTATTGTTTTCATCAAAATACTTGACTTTGAGCCGCAAATAAAAATCTTAGCGACAGCTTCATAATCTTTTAGAGAAGAACATTACTGATTATGTGAGCCAGACATGAAGAATAGAGACTGGATCAGCCTTTAATACAACACTATCATTGTGTTTTATCAGCTGAATGACCTTGATCAGGATATGAGCATAGCAACTGAGTTCATTCTGTAATCTCTGCCAAATTGGCAGTTGCTGTATTTGGCGCAGGCTGAGCATATGTATAAAAATGTGTAAATTGGTTTGGTTGTCATGGAATGAGTTAAACATTATTCAGAAGGTTAAATGGTTGAGAAGATGATGGGACACTGTCATTCAGGTGATCAAGATGTTCGAGCAGCAGAGATGTAGCGACTGCGTGATCAACATGGCAAGTACAGCCATCAGTGTGGCTCTGCCTGATGACCCAGATCTACCGACCCTCCACTCTGTAGTGTTCTGCCATCACCTGAAGCTGGGGCACCACCAAGAGGCATATCACTCCCTCATAGCCAACCCCGATGCTGCTCGTCGTAAGGACTGCCTGCGGCAACTGGTGGTGACCCTGTTTGAACGCCAGCGATTAGACACACTTGCTGACTTCCCATACCAGGTAGGTATGCAGTTCATGCACTGACACATGGCTTTAACCTTTGAACAGTTTTATTATAATAAACTAGTAAACGTGTGAGCTGAACACAAATGGCATTGAAATTGGTTTGATGCTTTTCCCACTACAACAATCGACTACTTTACAGAAACCCAGGTTTCTGCAGAACACAGCTTGAGAAACACTTATATGTAAATTATCAAGTTCCTTGTGTAATATCTTAAATTTCACACTTCTTCCTTTTCACTTTGTCGGCTGGGGAACGCTGTGGTTAATGTGCTAACAAAACCTGTAAGAGCATGACTCACAGCCGTTGTGTTGCAGGGGATGTATGAGGACTTGGAGCGTATAGTGGAGTCTCGTGCACGATCACTGGACCTCCTGTCTTCCAACTACTACAACTTCCTGTACTCATTCCACATGAAGAAGGGAAACCTACGCAAGGCAGCTACTATGATGTACGAGCAAGGCGTACGGCTTGGGCAGGAGACCACCGGTGATTCAGAGTCATTGCATCAGCAGGCAAAATGCTATCTAGCATGCCTTAATGCCCTGCGCCTGGTAGACCCCAGATATGCCTGGATTGTGAAACCGGTGCCCCATGCTGAGGTATGATACATTTTCCTCAGTTACAGAAGTAAATTTAGTAATGTTATACACAACATTATTGTTTATTTAATTGGGACCAAGTAGCACCGAATGAAAATTTACGTAAAATCTGCCTTAATAATATCCTCCCATTTCTGGCACAAGTGCAGAAATAGAAGTTTCAAGCCAAAATGTTGTATGCCCCCCCTACAATTGTATGAATTCTTATGTCCTTATCTCCATCTTCCTTTAACGACTACCCTTCATTCCGTATGTTCTCCATTTCTCTTACTGCACGTTTCTGAATCACATTGCTTTTGTATTTAAAAATAAAATGGCCATTCTGGAGCCAGATTAGACCATTGACCTAATGCATGATATGAAGGAGAAGATGTACATTATTTATCTCCCTGAATTCTATGTATTTTGCACAAAAACTTTTTATACTTTCAGAGAATAATGGATGAGGTATTCTAAAATTGAATGTTGCGTTTTCCATAAGTTTACAGTCATGATTGATCCTTGTGTTATGATACGCATTTCTTTCAAAAAGTATGCTGAATTTCCAGTCCTTCATGTAATGAAAATTTGAAAGTAAAACCTTGTATTATCCAGATTGGGGGAGGGGGGGGGGGAATTGTCCAGGATGAGCTGAAATTTAGTAACATCATGAATTTAATAGGGGCTACTAATGTTATGTTTTCTGTGCTAAGATTTTTACATGTGTTGATGATGTCACACCCTAATGCTATAGAGGGGATATGACTACATTGGTTTTGTCTTGTCTCCCAGACTGTTAATGAGCCATCAGAAATGAGTCCAAAGCGACATGCAGATGGTGAAGAAGTGTTGCAGCGCAATGTGAAGTGCCAGGTTCAGGTGTTAGAGCTTCGAGACATACAGAAGGAGTTTGAACTGGTGAATGCTCGGCTGCGCCTGATGAAACACAGTCCTGAACTCTGTTCCAGCATAGGCAAGTTAACACATTTTCACTCAGGGCCAGTTCTCTGTTGATTAGAAGGATTGAGGGAAATCTGTGTGGACAATAGAGATTCAAACCACATGCATTGCAATAGAGCTGTCATTTTACCTCTGAGAAACTTTTTGATTCCTGCACTTGAAGTTGTCCTTCATATTCTGTCATTGTTCATTTATGTAACATGCAAATGGAATTGATATACTAAATACTGTTGAGAATTAAATGATACTAGAAGGAAGATTTCTGTGGTAAGTAATCAAGAGTACAAGGGCGTAATTCAATTTGGAGAGCACGTATTCTAAATGCTTCTTTTGTTGTGATTTTTCATATCTCCTTGTTTTCGTGTTTTGTTATTGCAGATACTGTACAACAGATTTTTGTGGATGTAATCACACTCTGAGAGTCAAGTGGCATAGTCAGAACATTTTCTTGTATTCTATTAATACAAATATATTTCTGACTATGCCATGTGACTTCGCTGATGTGATGTGATCAAATTCATGAGAATTAATTTGTTCTCATATCTACAATAAATGAACATCAAGACCAAGGATGTATGCAAATCATGAAACACATTTGAAAATATGTGTACCTCAAACTGGAGTATATGTTTTACTCATGTTTACTTATTCTAGAAATTTTCGTTATATATCAGACAGTTTACTTAAATGGAAACAACTAAAAGTTTTAAAAATGGCCCTGTTAGTGCCGTCATGTTTGTTTTTCTGGTCATCCGTCTGTCTGCATGTAACAACTCAAAATATGTTGAGTGTATTTTCATTAAATTTTATGTTGGTGTGCATTACTAAAATCTGTTGACATATTATAGTTTTGATTAAAATGAGACGTCAGTAATGAACACTTTACACGAAAAAATCTATGAGCATTTGTCACACAGTCACTGGGTTGGGAGTCACTGTTGTATCCTAAGTTATTACAACTTGACTGATCAGATGAATGAGAAGCGGCACGTTCATAATATCAGCTCGTGGGGAAGTGGAACATAAACATGGTGCACGTTTATTCTGTGTCCAACAGGAACGCGATTGAATGCTGCTGAGCTTGTGGCTGTCCTGACGAGCGTGGGAATGTACCAGGTGGCCCTAAAGCTGTGCCAGCTGTTCTCTCTTCCCCACAGTGGAGTATTTGAGGGACTTGCAGCAGCATGTGTTAAGTTGAAGGCAGAGACCAGCGGTGCATGGGACTGGCTTGTCGAGAATGATTTCTCGGGTATGGGGCTACCTCATTTTGATATTCCATAGTTGTCTAGGACTGTGTGTTTGCATTTTTCTGCACCATTGCCCACTCAGCATCTCATTCAATTGCTTCAAGAAGCTCTTTTCCTGGTAATGGAGTATGAAACTGACGTTTTCCTTTCTTTCTTTGTATTCAGTAGGTGTTATACCTAGTTCAGACCTTAGCCAGGAGATGTGCTGTAATGACTAAGGTCCTGCCATAGTTTTCGTCAGTCACTTAATCCAAATTCTGATTGGTGCCTTTGTTCTCGTTTCAAAGTTACAGCAACCACCCTCACCGGGACTCGAACCGACGACAATTTTTCAGAGTTCTTAACTTTCTAAAATCTCTTCCTGTTCTCAAGGATGCCAAGAGTTCGGAGTATTCTAGTGGAAAAGAATCGTCCTTGATATCAGATGCTGCATCGCGATCCAACTCTAGACTGAGTCCTCTAAAATCGTCGTACCTGTCTAATACTACCTCTGCTTTTTGTTGCTTTCTACGTACCATCAGCTGCAATCTGATCTGATTGGCTCTCATTTAAATGACGAAAGTATGTTTCAAACAGGTGGCTCTTTATCTGACAGCTTCTCTCCTGAATCGTGATCTATATACATTCCTAATACCATACAGGTAAATCTCGATTTGCGCCGATTCAGAATAACGCCGCTTTTGAAACCAGCAAGTCAAAAAGTGGGGGGGGGGGAAATTACTGTTATTTATAACGTTTTACAATGTTCCTCGTACTGATTCGTATACTAATTCCTAATTCTTACATCGCTGATTTTGAATAAAAATTATAAATACAGTCACCTCTGCACTCATTGCTAAGTAGTTGCGAGATAATCTCCTAAAAATGCGCCAACATTGCACAACGGTCATGTGAGCATTGGTCACTCTTCACGGTGAGTCATTTGCATTCAGCCTAATAAGGGAGTAAGGAAAAATGCGCTCAGTTCTCTTGTTGATGCATTGAATGTGCTAAACGTGTTTGTGTTGCTGTTCGACCACTATTCTGCAGTAGCAACTGTTTTATATTTATAAATTGTAGAAGAGCCACCATGTCTGATAAGAGAAGTGAATGTGTTGCTAAAAAGTTGCGTAGGTCTATTGCATTAGAAGATAAGATGGACGTAATTCATAGAATAGAAGGTGGTGATACCCGTCATAATGTGTGCAGAAGTATGAAGTTGCCTCCTTCCACTGTGACTACCATAATGAAAAATTCATATAAAATAAAACAGTCAATGCAACAGGCTACGAGAGTAAGTGCAACGCAAGTGAGTTATAGCAGAAGCAAACTTTTAGAAAGAATGGAGAAATTACTGTTGCTGTGGGTGGATGACATGAATAAAAAAAACATTCCCTTGACTGAAATTGCTATCACGGATAAGGCGAAGTCAATTTTTGAGGAACTTAAGTCATCAGTGTTTGGGTGCTGGGAACGCATGTCATTGACTTCCCATTGATTACATTATAAAAAGAGTTTCAATTTACGCCGATTCCATTTACGCCGGTTTGTCCTGGAACGCATCCCCGGCGTAAATCGAGGTTTACCTGTATATTCTTCACTGAAATGGAGAGATTTCAAGGGCCTTGCTATTAAGAAATGATAATGAATTCTGTTATGTAAATGAAACCAATGTAAGTACAGTACATACACCTGGCCGTAACAGTAGACCAGACCAATGTTAAACATACAGTGAAATCAACCAATAAATCTGAGCAGACATGTGTTAGCTTGCAAGTAAGTGACATGAACCCTCCTAGAATTCATTGTTTCATTGTGAAACCTAAAACTGTACAAAATATTGCTAACAAAAATTGTTTTATTGCATTGCATTCCTAAATGATAGGGTAAATATGTATGTGTTTCTGAAACTTTGACTTATGGTTCTGAAGAAAGAATCCTGATGTGTGGTCAGTTTACAGTGCAAGAGAAAATTTATAACTTCTCAGTTCAGATGGTAAAGAAATTGAGAGTGTTGAATTATTTTTAATCATTTTCATATCGTTATGGTAATTACTTCAAATATTACCTTAAGCACATATTCTTTGTACATTAGTTCTGTATTGTGGTATACATAGAGACAGTGTCCTTCAAAATTGTTTTGGATTTTAAAAGTGCCTGTTGTGCTGAACATTTTTTGAATGGTATAAACTCTTGCTGCACTGTATTTGTGAGTTCTACTATGCTATCATTTTATTTATACCTTTGAGGTCCATTTATATTCACATATAACTTTCCACAATGCTCAGTTTATTTTCTTTGAATTCCAGAACTGTTGGCTCTGTCCAGAGGTGCAAAGATCAGTTAGAGTGGAATTTTTCTTTCTTCCCCAGAGCTTGGAATTGGAGAGGCAACGGCAGTGTCATTGGCATGGCGACTACTGGAGACGCTGCTGAACAAGTATGAGAGCCCCAGGCAGAGCACGCTGCATAAGGCTGTGGCGACTCGGCTCTTGGGGTTGGGCGCCTTCCTGCCACACTGGCTAGTTACATCATACAAACTGAGGAACCCTGCTGAGCTTCTGCGTGTGCTGCTATCTGCTGGCAGGCTTGTGGAAGCAACTGAGCTTGCCAAAGAATATATCTGGGCTGTACTGGGACGTGGCAAGGAATACTTTAGACTGGAGAACTCCCTCCTGGCCACAGCACCTCCCACGTGGCTCCCATTCCAGACCCTGGACCTCCTCTTGCTGGAACTTGAGGAATCCAGTGAACAGGATGGGGAATATAAGCAGGTGAGGAAACAGATGGATCATTTCATTGGTTGATTATTATTCCATGGAGCAGATTTCTTCTTAAGAAGTTAATAGTCACCCAGATAGTCAAGAAGTTCTCTCCACCTTTTATTACTAAGTTCATAAGGGCCTGCCATGTTTTCTCTGAGGTTTTATGAATTGAATTGTTGTTGAGAACACAATTGAACAGACTGTCAGACTTCTGTCAGCACAAATGTTGTCTGTCCAGTGAATCTTTCATGTAGGCCAACTTTGCCTTCATGAACAAAACACAAAACTGTTGAGAGCTGTGGTTTTGATATAACATCATAAATGTTATTAAGTATAATAGTTAACGTTATATATTGCTTGAATAATGTCATTTTGTGCAGGTCGAGAAGTTCCTTGGAGCATGCTTGATATATTTAAGTGAAAATGTAAAAGATAATCATAATCTTGAAGCTCATTCAGTAATTAAATATAATTGTCTCTGTTCACTGAGTTACTAGATTCATCATGACATTTTTAGGTTTAGAAAATGGAACATGTTACTGAGCGCTTTCACATTTCTGTTGTGCTATACTTACATGGTTGATGTTGGAAACCCCCACGTTTATTTCACACACTGCCGCCTTTGGAGAGCAGCAAACAGGGCTGACAGAAAAGTCGTGTTCAGGTATTACAGCCCGTCATCCATTCCTCTGATTCAAACTGTGAAGTTGAAAAGTTCTTTGTATATTTAAATGTTTTGTATTTATGTTTAGAAACTAAATTTGGAAGTGCCAGACATTGCTTTCCTTCCGTCACATTTTTTAACTTTTCCTTGCAGGTTTTTTGAGTTGAAGAAGGTGTAGTCAGTATAACTATTGCTCATTCTTTAAGAAGGGTAAAAGTCTCAAAAGGTGTCAGAAATAAGACATCAATTTTAAACACTCTGTATACAAAACCATGCAAATGAAAAACTAATTTTGAATGTAAAAAGAAAAAGTAAGCCACTGAGTGACATTCTCCACTGTGGGCTGGGTGCTTGAGTTCTACCCATTACGAGGTGCAATCGAAAGGTTTCCAGACTGCGCGTATAAAAACCCGTACACTTATCTCAGGTATTAAATTCATCCATCACCCTCGAAGTAGTTCCCCTGGGAGTGAACACAACGATCCCAGCGCCGCTGCCAAGCCTGGAAGCATCCCTGGAAATCTTTCTTTGTCAGCCTGTCAAGCACCATCTGCGATTCTGCCTGAATCTCTTCTATCGTCTCAAATCTCCTTCCCTTTAGCTGAATTGTCATCTGTGGGAAGAGGAAGAAGTCACACGGAGCTTAAAAAGGAAGTTGGGGTCGGTTCTTGCAAGATCTTTAAACTCCTGACAAACGAGAAGTCGATTCTGCTTCTGGTCCTCAGACAGGAGCCTTGCGTCGCATGTGGAGTTCTTCCTTTAGAATCAGCTAACAGGTCCCATAGCCTATCCCAACAATGTCGCACAAATCGTTGATGGTACGACGTCGATCTTCGTAACAGTTTCGGGCGTTGTGCTCGAAGATGGTCGTCCAGAACGCTCGTCATCATCGACAGAGGTTCGGCCATTTTTAAAACGTGAATGCCACACAAAAGTTTGTGCACGACCCATTGCGGACTCCCCAAATGCTTGCTTTAGCATTTCACAGGTTTCCGTAGCCGTTTTGGCGAGTCTTTGGCAAAATTTGATGCACACGCCATTCCGAAATCGCAGGAGGGTCGGTGTAATGCACTACCAAAACGCCCGTAACTAAGAAACAAATGCTAATTCGATGATGCCGACTGGCACACTGATTCACTATGAATGTAGGCCGCACCCCCTAGCGGCAGAAGCTCGTACTACATCCGGTTCGCCCTCTATTGACACAGTCTTGAAACTTTCCGATCGCACCTCATATAACCCAATCATCTTGTGCCTCTCCCCTTCACTTCTCCCTCAGGACCTGGGATAACATGCACAGTGACTTTTAAGCTCAACTAAAGCTGCTTGCACCCAACATAAAACCCAGGAAACAACAATGCAAGTGAATACTGTTTGTTCATTTATACAAAATTATTATGAATATGTATTTCTATTAAATATTATTTAGTATACATGCTTTAATAATTTGACTTAATAAAATATATAAATATTTAAAAATAACCGTCAATCACAATAAAATTTAAAGATTAAAACATTAAAATATCATATTATGTTCCCTATCGAGTACTCGATTTACATATGGAACTTACACAACATGTTTCAGCTAAAAGTAGCCATCTTTTGGTGTATTATATATAAACTTTTTACTGAATTGCTTTTTACGATTTTAATGACTTTTAATGATTTTTCTTCTGATGTTTTGTCCTTTATATTGATTCACTATTCGTTGTAGTATCATTTGTTGTGTTATAATTGACTTAATAAATTTTTTAAATTAATTATTTCAAAACTTTTGTGGGTGTGCAGCACATACCTAGCATGCCCTGGTCTGATTGGTTTTGCATCTTCACTTGATGGGAATCGGTAAAGTAACTGTTTTTTGCTTGCAGCTGCATGCAGAACTGAAAGACCTGGTGGAGTACTACCTACAAATAGCCACACGGACATCACAAGATAAGGTGCTGCTGTTAACAGCGGTGAAGTGAATCATTACCGCCAGAGTGGACAACATTCTCTCATTTTTACATTAATTTTTGTGGTCCCAGCGCAGGTAACATCAAATCACCCCTTAGGACATTTAAACTTCCTACCATACTCGTTTCACATTTTTGAACAAGATGATCCGGGAAGAACGTAGGAGCCTCTGTTAATTTAAATTCTATCTTGTGTATTAAGAGGCAAGCAGAAATTATGAGCTTGAATAAGTGATGTATTTATTTCTGTGCTTAGTTTCCATCAGTATAGATACCAATGCCATGTAGTTGTTACACACAACTTCAAAATTTCATGTCATCTGCATCTTTCTAATTAACACACAAAAAATCTTCGTACAATTTTTAAGTGTGTTTTGTAAGTGTTGCCATATTAGATTTTACATGCCTTGCATCAATGGTTCATTAGTTATTGCTGTCAAATAAATAACTAAATATGAATTTTATGTGGATGCCATTGTACAAAAATAAAAGTTACATTTTTTTTGCTCCTTCATTTAGGATCTTGTTACATGTTGCCAGTTTCATTAAATTCCATCTGTTAGTTAAGCAAGTCAGGAAATGTTGCTTAGCCTACAAATTCTTATGCATTAACCAGAATTTGACCTTTGACCATGGAATATGGCATCAGTGAGGTTCTCTTCTTGAATAGGTAAGAAACTGGTAGCTTCTCAAGAAGGACTGTGCTCCATGAAGATCATAAACCATGATCTTCTTTTATTGCAGATTCAAATTTATTGTTTCAAAGGTAATTTACACTACAGGTGTCGCACTACCCTGGGTCAGTATATGAGCTGTCTGCGTTTCTTGTTAAATATTCATGTTAAAAAAAATACCAGTTTGGTAAATTTCAGTTTGAACTTCATGCAAAATGAGAGATATATTGGACTGATAACTAACTTTATAGAACTGAGTCCTTGAAAAGTTGATAGTCACTCAGTTGGTCAAGTCATTCCCTGCCTTTCACGGAACCAGAGGTTCATCACTAACAAACTAAATCAACTCCATGGAACAGAATTATTCTTAAGAAGCTAATAGTAGTCCAACTAGTCAAGAAATCCCCCAAATTTTATGGGACCCAAAGGTTCATTACCATGTTCACAAAAGCCTGCCATCAGTCCCTGTCCTAAACCAGATGAATCCAGTCTATACCAAACCCAAATTTACTAAAATCTGTGATATATTTGGTCTGAAGCTTTCACAACATTGAATTTTTCTTGGGCTACCAGCCATGTCAGGTGACAAAATCAGCATTTCGAGAACAATCTCTGTCCTCGTCCTCAAGGTACTGAAGTGGCTGGAGATCAAGCTTTTTTATACACATTGAAATTACGTGTATCACCAGTTAAGATGGTGTATTCTGTTAGTGAAAGGATATATTTAGTGTAGTATTATGAGGTAGTTTGTATGATGGTCCTTTGAATGTGTGTGCCCCAAGTGAAGATTAAAATTGGTGGTACAAAGGACAGCTTTTATGAAGCACTAGAGCATACTTTCTGTCAGTTCCCAAATTACCATGTGACAATTTTGCCAGTAGATTTTAGTCCAATGGTAGAGAAGAACGTTACTTTCATATCGATGGCTGGGAATAGGAATTTACTTAAAACTAGTGATGATAATGTACAGGTAGCCCTTGATTTGCGTTGATTCAGAATAACGCCAATTTTGAAACCAGCAAGTCAAAAAGTGAAAAAAATATATTTTACTGTTATTTATTACAATGTATCTTGTACTGATTCTTATACTAAATCATAATTCTTACATCGCTGATTTTGAATAAAAATTATAAATAAAGTCATCTCTGCAATTACGTATGTTTCGTTAACGTGAATTTGCTACAAATAAGATCGATTAATCGGTAAAATCTGTTTGTGAAATGCAAACTTTTGCATATGTGAAGGACTAATTTAATCTCTGCGGAGGTACCGGGGTTATTTTTACTACGCGATTTTCTGTAGGGTGGCGTCTTACATGAATGCAACTATCGAATAACAGCAGAGATGACTATACACATCAATCACATGAAAGAATCCCAGTCAATTGCGGGGACCAACGAATTGCCGATTGTAAGTGTATAAAATATATATTTTTAAATTCCCTTTATTTTATTTACGTTATTTCAGAGCTTTAAATGTAATGCCATTATATTACTCGTCAATGTTTGGGTGCTGGGAACGCATGTCATTGACTTCCCATTCATTTACATTATAAAAGAGTTTCAATTTACACCGGTTCATCCAGGAACGCATCCCCGGCGTAAATTGAGGGCTATCTGTACTTAAAAGTACAATGTTCTCATATTTAAACATTCATAGACCTGGATTTCTCCTGATGGATAGACACACATTGAGAGTGGTTGTGTCATAGAGATAACAATTTGTATTTAATTATAATTAATGTCTGATCTTTAATGGATACTAGTCTGACATTGACAAGTATCTGGTGGTTCAGATGAAGAAGACACTCTAAGTAAACAAGGAAGCATATAATTTTGATATGGAGAAATTTAGTCTCAAGCAAGTAAACAATTTGCATGTTAAAGAAACAATATCAGGTCAGAATGACAGCTTTATGGCTTTCAAAAATTTCAATGCTTTGTGGACATTAGTAAGGCTTTGGACATTTTAAGAGAGCACATAAGAACTGTGCCAAATATGCTCTAGTTCATTAAGAGTTAAAGGAGTACAAACCATGGTTTGATGAAGAATGAAGAGCAAATGAAGGAAGCAGGCTAAATTGTGGTGGCACAGAACCCAAGCCAAATGAATGTAAGTGATCTGAGCAGTGTAAGATGTGAAGCAGTAGAACGTTCATAAACAAAATATGGGAATATCTGAAAGATAAACTTATTTTAAAACAAACTGTGAGAAAAGAAATATGAGCGGCAAAGTACAGGTGCAGAAATAAACTTAAGAAGTGTTACCAACCTAATGCTAATGTGATGAAAGATGAGAATATTGATATTCTTGCAGAATCTCGTAATGTTTTGAATACGCAGAATTACTTCTGCCAGCTTCTGAATGCACAAGGATGAGTGTTAGGTAGACTGAAATACATGCAGCTTTACCCTTAGTATATATGGCTAGTTCTGATGAGGTTAAGGGCTTCTCCTTAAACTTGTGTAATTACAGTAAGTACGAGGCGCGTCCACAAAGTAAGTTTCCCACTCGTCCCACAGCTAGCAAACCTTATATTGCGCGAAGCGACTGTGCGTACGTGATAGAGCAATGACGTAGCATGGCGCATGCACTAACGGCACCTCCCGCGTTCTCACAGTAGCATCGTTGAAGATGGAGTTTCTTATTCCAGCTCCCGCCGACTGTGAAGTGCGGCCAGTGATAACGCTAGGCCGCACACGGCTCGACGGACAGCAAGTCTCCTGCAGGAGTTCAGCTGGGAGGTGTTTAATCATCCACCCTACAGCCCGGACCTCGCTCCCAGTGATTTCCATCTTTTCCTACACCTCAAGAAATTCCTGTCCGGTCAGCGTCAGCGTTTTGAGAATGACAGAGAGGCGGAGATGGCTGTCACACAGTGGTTCCAATCCCAGGCGGCAGACTTCTACGACACAGGTATTCAAAAGTTGGTCCCACGGTATGACAAATGTCTCAATTCCGGTGGCGAATATGTTCAAAAATAGCTGGACACTTGCTGTATCTGTTGCAATAAATATTTCCACGAAATTGTGTTTTGTTTCTGTAAACGGCCCCAGGGAAACTTACTTTGTGGACGAGCCTCGTATATCACAAATGAAGTGAATGGCAGAACATGGGGAATTTGACTTGCTATGTCAGTTGAAAATTTCAAGAGAAAAAGTGACTTGGGATCAGTCAGAAGGTATAATTTTTACCAGTAATTTTAATTGAATTTTATTCTTTTCTTATTTTACACATTTGCCATGCCTAGAATACCACCAGTCGAGTCAATCAATACACTGAACATTTTCCAGTGCTACTCGAGCACTTCCTCGGGATCATTCAAGAAGACACACAAGATGTAGAGCAGAATGACTAAGGCAGTGGTCACGATGATGCCAGTGGCAAAGCGTGGGAAGTATTGTGACATCACTAGCAGTACCAGCATGACCAACAAGATGAGAACTGTTGCCACTGGAATCACGTGACTGAAATGCCAGTAGACTTCAGACAGTCCATACATCTGTGTTGGGGTGGTATGGGAAGAGACCACATTTACCAACCACATTCCCTGTTAAGAATACAACATCACTTGGAGACAATGTTATCATCACTAGGTCTGCAAATAGAAGGGCTGTGGGGTTGAACTGGTTCAAGATTGTTATGATGATGATGATAATGAAGCTGTGGGTTCCTTAACAGCATTTTGTTAGTGGGACACCTATCAGCTGCTAGGGGAATACCCTGAACAAGGGAGCTGGTTGGTTAACCCTTCACAATTAGGTTTCTCACTGTGTTTGCTCTCCCATGCCAGACTTTTGAAATGTTGTGTGTCACCTAAAGAGAGTTATTTCAGTATTTGAAAATGAGGCAAAATTAAAATTCTTGGGAATCACCATAATAAATCACGATTACATTCATGACAGAATTAAACGCAAGTAAAATTTGAGAAATGTTTCCTTCCACACAGTTCAAAGGGTTTTTTAAACTTTCCACTTCCTACTGAAAATCTAAGGATTAAAATACGTTTAGCTATAATTTTGTCTGTTGTGTTGTATGAGTGTGGAACTTCATCTCTCCCTCTGAGGGAAGGGTGTAGATTGAGGGTATCTGATTACAAGTTGTTAGGAGAATATTTGGACCCAAGAGAGAAGAAGGAAACTATCACAGTGTGTACTGTTCACCAAATAATGTTTAGCTGTTCATATCAAGGAGGTGGTACATGTAATGTATTGGAGAGGTGAGAAATGCATGTGGAATTTTCAGATTTGAGTCAGAAAATCTCAAAGGAAGAAATCCCCTTGGAGAAAAGGCATAGACAAGATGAAAACAGAAATTTATCCTAAAATAAACAGGGTATGAAGGTATAGCCTGAATTCTGCTTTTGTTAGCTTGGTATTTAATTTTTAAGTTCCTAAAGATGCAAAACATTTTGTGGCCAGCCGAGTATCAACTTTTCGTGAAAGACAACCATCGTGTAGTTAGATAGTACCCCTGTCAGTCACATTTATCTGTATCAGTCCATGGTGATTCTCATTGGTTGCCAACTGTATAAATCAATATTGTGTTGGTCTTTAATGATTGTAACTGAACAAAATACTTAAGAATTTACTGACCTTGTTTTTCTGTCAATAAATAAGGTTAGACATTTCTATATTTTAATCGTCATGCTTAATCTTAATGCTTAGATTGTGTCACTGACCGAAGATCAATGTATCCAGATTCCATTTCTTCAGTCTTGTTCATGTTGCTGCTAAGAATCTGCCTCAGTTTGCCTTCATAACCTTAAACATTGCTTCATTCAAAACTAATCCATAAGCTTGAGATTTTATTTATAAAGAAGATAAACAGTTGCTAAAATTTTAGCACAGTTTCTTACCTCTGAACAGTGGAGTGGTAACTCCTTCAGCATTAATTTTAGCTGTGTCATTCCCACCATACAGTCATGCTGGTACACAGTAGTTATAGTAGTAATGTTTGTAGTAATGTTTGCCTGGGGCAAAAGTAAGCCAAGTGTATTGCGGGCTCTTGGAAACACTGACATGAAATGTCACTCTGCTGGCATTTCTGTAATGTCAGCTGAACAAACTTTACTCCATTTTAATTGTGTATCGTGCTAAAACTGTTGTGTTTTATCAGACATGAGAATTAGATTTATGTGACTTGTGTCTTTATTTCTCTGATGCTCTTTGTTATAACATTTAGCTGCCTCTTGTTTGCATATGTTGTCTTGTTTGATGTTGTGACAAGAAGTTCATAGTTCATGTTGCTGGGCCTGCGGTGCAATGAATTGGCATCTTAATTACTTTCTGACACATATGGTATATGTGTTGGCAGTGTCTTTACTATTTAACAACAAAAAGAAAAGAAAAACAAAGAAAGGATAACTTAGAACCTATGCACTATTTGTAGATTGTGAAGAGGAATTTGACAGAGTAATTCCACCACAGATATGGTATATCTTACGGAAATTTCCAAAACAGTTCACATTTCATTTATGCAGCTTATAGCGTAAACACTGAAGTATAATAAATTTTGGTTTGTCACAAACAAATATAACTTCTTAAAATAATGTTATGATGAAAGAAGGTGGCCTTTTCCACCCAAGAATTCAGTCACCATAGCAAATAAAACTCAACCCATCTCCATTGCAAAGATTGTTTGATTTAATGCTGTTTAGAGACATAATTGCTGCTTATTCTGGGAATAATACAAAGCCCATAAATACACTGTTTGGGCAAAATGCAGTAATTAAATGTAAGCGTATGTGGTACATATAAATACCATTTGGACTCGGAAGGTTAAAAAATGGCAGGAAAACTCAGTATTGAGATTGGATTATTAATGATGTCTTATCAGTGCTGAGCTGTGCCTCATGGCTCGGAGTGCTCTATCTCCATGATTTTAATGATTATGAATTATTAATGATGATGCAGGCTTCGCTGCCCTGAAGAGGCAATCTGTGTGTGTCCGCCGTGCAGGGCCCATAGCCAGAGAGAGAGTCAGAGGACGAAATTCTCTGCCTGTTGAGGGCAAGGGCTAAATTGTGTTTACTTTGTGTATGCAGAAAGGCAGCTGGTCAGGATTCCAGCCGGGGCCTGGGGCCATGTGAGTTCGCTTACAATTTGTTTGATTGTTTGGCCTTTTTCTGTATGTCCCCTTTTTATTTATATATTCAATACATTTTGATAATTTTGGTTAACCTCTGTAGTCCTGATGGCCGTACCACCTCCTGGACTCTGGGTCAACTGTGTGGCTTTGGCTGGGTATTATTTTAGTGCATCCATGCAAGATATATCTGTTCTGTATATAATCACACATTTTCACAAAAGCAGAAAATTATGAACTAGGCCTTCAACCTTTTCCTGTCTAGAACAGAATATCACACAATCAGGACCTTCACAATTGCACTCTTCATTTAATGCTAATGTATGAAATCAAAAATGACGATTAGAGTAGGACATGTGGCATATCTGAAGGAAACTAAGAGTTTAATAGAACAATTTATTTACATTCTATAGATCCATCATAGGCCTAAGCCAAGGGTTTAGAACAAGCCATAGCACAAATACAATACTTGTTTCTAATACAAATATAAATTACAGTTATGACTGATTTGCAGTCAACTGCAGAATTCCTCAAAAATAAGTGCACGAGAAAGCATTGCCACTATTGCTTACATGAATTTATAATGTCCAGGAACTTTGGTTCAGGTGAATTCTACTGTGGACCAGAAGGAGATTGGAAGTACTCTTTAAGTGCTGGCGTAAACTCCTTCATATTGTAATTCAGACTTTTTTGTAGTTGGGGGATGATTACTGAATAGCTTAATTCCAGTATAATAAATTACTTTTTGATATTTACTGAGTTTAGTTTTAGGCACATGAAGGTTATATCTATATCTTGTACTTACATTGTGGATTTTTGAGTTTGTTTGAATTTTTCTGTGTTGTCCACTACAAATGATTTTAGAGCAAGAATTTGCTGGCTAGTGGAAGAAATTTAGTTGTTTCTACTTCTTTAATTGTTTTATCCTCATACTCTATACCTAGATTAACCAATTTTTGTAGGTAGTACAGAATTTCATTAAATTTGTTTTGTCAAAATTTAATGTGAGTTCAAAGTAGTAAAGACATCATTCATGCAAATTTTAAAACAGTCAATTTCTGTATGTGAAATAATAATATTAGTATCGTCTGTGACAAAGTATGGGTTTAGACTGAGTTAATGGTTGACAGTACTCATTGATATATGTGAGGGAAAGAAGAGGATGAAGTATGGAATCTTGAGGAACTCCATGTTTTATAATGCTCAAATTTGAATAGGCCCTATTATTTGAATCTGGTGATTTTGTTGCCTTCTGTAATGAAGGTACAATTCAACCACTGACCAGCTATATTTCAAATTCCATAAAGATGTAATTTTGACAGTGATAATTAATGAGTTGATTTACACAATCATATGCTTTAGAAAGATCACAAGATATTCCAGTAACATGCATATTACTATTAAGAGCACTTAAGATTTTATCTGTAAAATTTAAAAGGGCTTTATCAGTTGGCTTTTCCTAAATCCAAATTGTTCACTTGCAAGGACATTGAGTCACCTACTCTCTTATACATGACTCTCAAATATTTTAGAGAAAGGTGTTGGTAATTAAATTGGTATGCAGTTTCTCACATTTTTTATACAGGGGTTTGACATTTGAATATTTAAGTTATTCTGGAAAAACTGCTACCGCCATTAATTGACTGCAAAGATAACTTGAAGGAACATGAACATAGTTTGCACAGCTTTGATATTTCATCATAATCATTTGAGTTTTTAAAATTTATTTATTATTTATTTTAGAGAATTTATTACACTTTTAATTTCATTTGCTGTTGCGGGCATAAGATTTATGTTTGAAAAGTTTTAGGGATTGCTTCAGCAAGGTACTTTGTTGTATCTTCTGTTGTTATGGGTGTAGTGTCACTGTTAATTCTTTCTATAATTAAGAAATAAGTATTGAAAGAATTTGCTTAGATTTTTGGATTTTTTATTGTGTAATATATATGTTTATTAATGGGGTTACTTTTTCTGTAGAATATTTCCCTGTTCCTTAAAATAAAAAAAATAAAAATCTTGCTTCAGAGTCACACTGGAATAAATCCTTCACAGGAATACAATATTAAAATCAGTTTTAAAGAATAAACTGTGAAATAGACTGAGTGGCACAGGAACAGGGAACCAGTGATGATGAGGACGAAACTTCAGGATGTCTTACCAGGTTAGTGATCGCCAACCACTTAAAGAATACAAAAAACAAAACATTCTCATATGGAAATTTATATTCTGGCAATAAGACAGTAATTTTCCCATAATTACTTGATTCACATACACAGCAACAAGACTGACTGGCCATAAGTCATTGCAACAACACAATATTATACATCAAATTCAGACCAACAGGCACAATCACTTGATGACAGTTTCATTGTAAAACATAAGATGTGCTGCATGAATTTTTGAGACTGTTCTCCTTGTCTCAAAATTCTGCCAGCAATAATTCACTTGGAACATCCACCCATCCTTGAACACACTCCACCAGCATCCACCCCCCTCCAAATGATTCTAACATCAGCCATATCTGTACACTTAATTATGAAAAATTATAATGATAAAATCAGTTTATTTGCGATTGTCACAAGGTTAATCATTTTCTGTTCTGAAGAGCATTTGACAGCCAGTCCATGGCGGAGTCTAGCCCCTCTCCTTTTGTAGCTGATGTTTTGAAGATTTGAAATGTTCGGTTCTTGAGAGCGTCAAGCCCCAGTGCCTGGTGGACTTCAGCAACACTCAGAGAACCTTCAACGTCTTGCTTGTTAGCAAGCACCACCAGTACTGCTCCTTGCAGCTCATCTTCCTGCAACACAGTGTAGCCAACTGCATTAACAAAATGTTTGTTTGCTTCAGTGGTTTTGTCTCTTATGTCAGAATCTGTCAAAATAAAATTTCAAAACTCTGTTCTTAAGTTCCTTAATGAAACTGTTTCAAATTGTGATGCCATGCAACATCAAATGAGATATGAAGATGATTACAAACAGTGAATATGAAAAGATCTGAAAGGAGGCAGTTCTGAAAAGTTCAAGATACTGTCCTGGTATTCACCTGGATGAACAGAGGAAAACCACAAAAGACAAATCAGGACAGCCAATAACCTGAAAAATATTCAAACTGGGATCCTGCATAGTGTTACTGCAACACCAACCCACTTGGTTTGACGTGGTTATAGCACAATGGATATTGAATTGTTATCTTTCTCTAGGCTGAAGTTTTGTAACATTCTTGGGATTCTATGAGAATTGTTTTGTTTTAATGTCTTTTGCAAATAGGAGAAGCTCTGTGTTATTAAACTGCATCTTTGTTTAACTATGGTCTGGTCAGAAATGCTATGTGGACTTATATCACAACCCGTAAGACCAACCACCACCACCACCGTGAGGTCATTTCAAACTGTAAGTCTGAGAGAACAACCTGATGAGGCGCACATACAACTCTGAATCAGAAGTCATGCTGGAAATTCTTAGATTATTTCTGGTGATTCTGTTTGTAGCATGAGTGGAAATAGGCGGTCCAAAGTTTGTTATGCCCTGCCCGGGCTGTGGAGTTGGAGTCAGAAGCAATTTTAGGTGGAGTCAGTAAAAATGTACCTGACCCTGCCAGAATGGCCTACAGACCATACAATTTGATAACCACTGGTTTAGAACAACAACAGTGAGGACTTAAAATCTAAATTTGATGAGTCACTACTCACCCTCAACATATAGAGCAGTTCATCCTTTGAAATGCCTATTCTGTCTCTGTCAGCAGAATCCACTACATAAATGATAGCATCTGTGTTGGAATAGTAGCAGCGCCAGTACGGCCTGGAACAGTACAAGAGAGAACTCTCAAAAGGTCCTTTAATGCCCGTTTGTTCTGCTTCGACAGAATGAACATAAAGTGTTACAATGTTTCTGTGGCATTCATATGTGTTTCGCAGTAAAAATAAATGTCATGAAATACTCATACATATGAAACCATGACAAAAAGTTCAGTATGAGGTGTATAAAAGAAACAAAATGATATTTCAAAAGTTGGACACTCTAGTACACACTATCTCAATTTGTTCCCAGTGCAAGTCGCAATCTGCACTGCCATCACTTCCAGTGATAATGTAATCTTTAGTGGTTGTACACATTACACAGAATGTCTGCTATGGATTTTAATTTCTACCATTATCCAGCCATCACAAATGTTTTTCATAAAATGCCCGTCTTTATCCTGAACTTGTGTTTTTCAGAACAAAAATAGATTTTCTGTGGCCTTAGGAAGCAAAGGGACCCAACAAATAATTGTAATGTGTTGCAAAGAGTAACTTGAGGATAAAGAAGAGTTCTGTACAGTTCCCATTTGACAGATTAGTTTCAATATGAATTGAGATGGCTGGACAAAAAGTTGACAGTGGAACCAGTTCTGGAGAATCTGACATAAATACATCTCTGTAATGTAATAATTCTTATATAATATAAATACTTGTGATATTCTAAAACGTTTTTACCAGCACAAAATTATCTAGTCTATGACACACTTCTTCTACAAGCAATTCACAGCTCAGCTCTTTCCGCAATAACGAAAGCGGGTTGTTGACGGCAGTAATGTAACACAACAATGCCGAGTAAACAGATAACGCAACAATTAGTTTCTTAGGTAACATAACAATGCACACATTAGTTCATATAAAAGCTGATCATGCCGCGGAGGCCTTCAGTCGAAACGGCCCCTCCCTCTCTGGGTTCAAACCCCAGAGATCCAACCAACCAAATTCTTTTGGACAACTTGCCTGACGGGATAACCTCCCATCAGCAGCAACAGATCCCAGTTGGAATGGTTGAGGCTCCCGCCACGACAAAACCCCGTTAGCATTAGCAAAATTTCCGTTTTTTAGTTTAAGACCGTGTACCATTTCCAGCAATACGCCTTGTGCGCAGGTATGGTGTCACCTGGGTAGGGACGATGCTTGCGCTTGCAGAGGACTCCGCCCTCAGTTAGCTTTTTGGTTGGTTGGTTGGTGGTCCATATTTACACATTGTTGATATGGATCTTACACATCTTCGTTACACTTTTTTGCCGAATGACCCTTCCGCATAGACGTATTTACATCAAAAAGAAGCAACCATTGCTGATTTTCAAGCACATTTTTAAAATTCATCTATTGGCTGTTTATTCAGTTATTATTGACTGCTGAAGTAATGTAACACCAAACTGTTGCACAACAATGAATAATCAAATATATGTTAGTGGCAAAATTGTAAGTTACTATCCCAGCATTTCCACGGCACAGTTGAAGGAAAACCTTGGAAGACTTGGGATAATTGATCCCCAGCTGGAGTATAAAATGAGTGCCTTTTAGGGGCAAATAACAAGCATTGTACTGTTTCTTACATAACCACTAACCTCAATGAGAGAAAAGTAGGAAAAAGTTAAGGTTCCACTGAAGCTTACCTAACCTAACAAACTAGTCCACATCTAATCAAGAACAGGCACAATGAAATTAACATGGAGCTTGATTTACTGAGGGAGCCAAATCACATTCTGAAGTTTCACCAGAATTACTTTAAGATATGATATTAATTTTAAGAATTGAAGACCACTGAGACTCAATGCTAACATAAAAGTTATGGTAAGTTGGACCCCCTGAAACTTTTAACAAAAATTGCATTTTCATACCTTATACTTGTCTGTCCTCCAAGATCCCAAACTTGGAACTTTAAGTTTTTATATGTCACTTGTTCCACATTGAAGCCAATAGTGGGAATTGTTGTCACTACTTCACCAACTTGTAATCTGAAATATCGGAAAACATGGGCACAGAACATTTGTTTACAAAATTATATTAATAAGGTTATCTAAAAATGTATATGGATTTACACAATAATATCTATCTTCTCATTAAGTAGTAATATTCTGTCATATAAAGTATTGTCTCAAAAATACAGAGAAAACATTTATCTGCTTCATTATTAAATTTTGTTCACAAAATATAAATCAATACCAAGGCATCACCTGTAAAGTATTGTAGTTTTTCCAGCACCATCTAATCCCAGTATAAGGATTCTCATTTCTCGACTTCCAAGGAGGTTTCGAAAATAACTCAATAACCCTCCTACCAAAACAACACAAGACATAAATGAAATTCATTGAAAATGCAAACACCTAACCTAATTTACACAGCCGGTGTTTCTTGCAAATATTTCGAAGTGAAAACCGTTGTCATTCAACTATATTTTTTGCACATCCTGTCCATAAAGTATTTTTATTTCAAAAATAATTAATTCTAGCAAGAATTAATTCCATGAGTCATATACATGAAACTGTGTTAAGGAAATTGGAATACTGTTCCGGCATTTTATTCTTACAATTTAAATTCCGTACCCATTTTGATTATTCCTTTACAGAGACGAATAATATGTGGTAGGAGGCTAATTTAAATTTTTAATCTGCTACCACCTCGCCTTTCGTTATAAAATAGTCAATACATAAGTATACAAACACATGAAATTTGACGTGTACCACACAACCACAGATAACACCAACACGTAACTACCAACCCGTAAGCATAAACTAAACATATAATGTTGGCCACACAGAAGCACGTTCCTGCAATTCACACTAGGTGGCATGAAAAGCAACAATCATGAAAGTACAATTTCCATATGGACATTTATGGGCTTTCAGGTTGATTCATTGCTGACATGGGTCCTGCTTGTAGATGACGTCTCCTAGTAAGCACACAATATATACACATATGACAAAAGAGGCTGTTTTGCCTGCATTTCGAAGTTTCTTAAAGTCTTCATCTTCAAGGAGAAGTGATAGGTTGTTTGTTTGTTTGTCATCAGTCTTCCGACTGGTTTGATGTGGTCCTCCATTTTCGCCTATCTTGCGCTAATCTCTTCATTTCCACATATACTATAATAGCTAGCAAGCCATCAGTCGGGAAACCAAACGGAACAGTTACACCTCCATGTTGATCTATACTCTACAGGGACCACCGTAAAAGATATTATTAAAAAATTGTAATCGAAAACATTTCAGTGACGTGCTTGAAAGAGCAATAGTTCCCAAACGAGGTGGCGAACACGAAGAGGTGCGAGTAAAAATTTGGGAATGCTCCCAAACTGAACTACCATGTGATTAAGTTGTACGAAGTAACATCTAATAGAGTACTCTGCTTACGAAATTTGATGAAAATCTGTTCAACCTTTCACGAGTTGTCACGCGGAAGAACATGAAGTTTGTAAGAAGACCGCCTTTTCGGCTAAAGGAAGCAACTGACAAAAAACGCCCATAATATGCCCTTTGCTTATGATGGAGCGTGAAGAACACATGAAGGTGGGTTTGAGAGAAAGAGGACGGGGGTATGTGGACTGGATTTTGAGTGTGAATAAAGACTACCCGCAGGCTCTTGTGCACATGACAATGAACCATCGGTTCCTTAATAGGCGAGGAATTTCTTGACTAGCTGAGCAACTACACGTATATTGCATTTCTCCGAGATCTCGTACATGCATTATGAGAACAGTCTGAAATTATCGCTCAGTTGAAGGCACGTTGCATTGCTTACTAAGACGTTATCCAAGTGTCGTGAAGCTCTCAAAACAGCTGGAAAATTGAAATTTGAGAAGAATACCCGCTGAGAAAAGGGCACAATTCCATTGTCTTTACACTGTCATTATTTATGAAAGCATAAACGAAAGGTTTTCATCACTTCAATCTATAACGATAAGACAATCGACTTTATTTTATTATATATTTATCTCGCTTTCTCTTCAAGACACTTCATTTGTTTTAGTTATACGTAAGTACATATATGACTGTTTTGAATTCTAAATACCTCGTGTTTCTGACTAGTCAAAACTGTGTCGTAATAAATATGATTCTGCATGATTTTTGTTGCATGAATTTCAGTGTTCTTGAAAATGTTGACAAGACAATTGATTTTGACTACAAATTCGGTCTTGTAATAATTTTCATTTACGTACTCTTCAGTTGTCTATTGTACGTATGTTGGCAGAGTGAGTTCACAATTGTGTCACAAGATGGCAGTACACTTCCTGAATGTTTACGAAACTCCTGTGGCTGTAACGGAGTGGTGATCGGAGTTGACATCCATGCTTTTGGAGAAGTGCATGTGTGTGTTGCTTTGCTGGTGTAATAGAAGGAGAAGGTGACATAATAGCGCAAATTGTAGGAGTGAATATGAAGTGGATTATCTCATCTGAAGAGGTAAGCCGAATCACGTGTCTGTTATATCTGATGTACAGAACCTTTTGTGCTGCAAAAGTGCAGGTGTAAGGTAAGGCAGTGGCGGAATAGAATAACGTTTATGGACAGCCCTGTGGAATGTTTTTAGCCGCGGGGTACAAGGGAAGCCATCGTGAACTGCTCATTGCCAGGTCCAAATTACGTCGAAAGCAATGGTCACCGTATTGCGTGACAGCTACCTTATACCCCAAGAGGCGCCAAATTTCAGCCTCGACGAAGCTGCTTGGAAGTTTTCTGTATTCAAGTTGATCTCTGTCGTTTGGAAAGACATGATCGCACTTCGTGTTTTCTTCCATTCTGGGGTTTCTCGTCTGTTTCGACACGGCATTAAACAAAAACAGGGCCAGTTCCATCAGTGATTAACAATAATAAACAACGTCAACAATGATGGTAATCATTTCTGTGCAAAGAACCGGGAGCTTATCGACACATTTCCAATTTGATAAGGCTCCAGAAGTAACATATTTACCCTCCCCTATAACCGATCAGAATTTCATAGCTTGTCACCTTCAGTTTGATAATGATGATGATGATGATGATGATTGTGACTGACTTTGGCCGGCGTGTCAAATAAAGGGCTCATTGTTTAAGAACTTACTAAACTTGAAAGTGGTGCATTGTGTGGGTTCCCAAACTACAACTAACAAACTAACTCCCTGGTGGCAGAACCGACAACAGCAAAGCCCGCCACCGGACACGATCCTGAGCCAACTCCATCCATTTGCCATCTTCACAGCCCACCTCCCAACATCCATCTTGATGTTATCCTCCCATCTCCTTCTTGGTCTGACCAGTGGTGTTTTCCAGGATTCCCTACCAAAATCCTGTATGCACTGATTGCCCCCAACCCCTGCATGCGTTCGACATGTCCATCCCATCTGAGTCCCCTAGATTTCACTATTCTTACAATGCTGGGTGACCCATACAATTCACCCAGCTTCTAGTCATGTAATATTCTAAATTTCAAACTTTTTTCATCCATCTTAGGTCCAAATGGACACAACAGGCAAATTTATTTGTGTTTTATAAATCCTGATCTTCAGTGTTTAGGGTAGTAAACAAGATGACAACAGTTTTTGAACTGAATAAAAACAAGCTTTCCCCGAATGTGTTCTACTCTTAATTTCGTCATGGACCTGATTTATGTTTGTTATTGTTGTTCTCAGATACTTAAATTTTGAAACATTTTCAAATGATGCGATTCTGTTGAACTCTGTTGAAATCATTATCCTATACGACGATTACTAATTTCTCTCTGTACTTTGAACATCAACAGAATGATTTAAATTATGCCGCATTCATTTATGTATCGCTGTAATAGTTATTGTATTTCAGATGTTGACTTCTTTAACGTGTATAAATGAGTAATTTTGCTGAAAGAATTTAATTCTCTGCCTTCCGGCAGCTTAAAGTACTCATTAATATAATTGTCACATCAATTAAATGGTATAAAATATAATAAAAATGTTATGATAGTATGGATACTAATGTGTTGTTACTTTCAAATTTAGTGATTTAACACAAGGAAATGGCTACTTATAGCCGAATTAGCTGAAATCTGTAGTGAATTGGTTTTCGTCTCAGAACATGGCCAAATAAATATTAATTTCACATATTATTTTCTGTATATTGATGGATGTATAAAAAATGAATATCCAGGATCACAGGATGCCTTTATTTATATACAGCCGCTGGTTGAAACGTCAGGACGCACTGCCCATCCGCGTTTGCAAAGTTGTATGAATGTGGAAAGTGGCCATTTTGAATACTTGAAGTAGAAGAATGTTTGTGCGTGAGCTTGCAAAGATATTTACGAGGGCAGACATGAAAACTAATTAAATTAAATGCAAAATTGTAAAATAAACCATATTGATACGTATTCTCGTGCCATGTGTGTCCTGACTTTTGCATTTTCTGTATACTCAGATTGAAAATGTTGATTAAGAGGAATTCGATTAATAGAGAATCGGGAAAAGAGAGAAACAAAATAAGAGACAATTGGTCGGGCAACTCAACATAAAGAAACTACTTGGAAAACCTGGGGGTCGGCGGGAGAATAATATTAAAACATGTTAGAGAAACACGTTATGAAGATGTGAACTGATTTAAATTGTTACAGGATAGGTTTTTGTGTTCACGTGATTAAGCTTTGGGTTCCTGTAACCAGGGCCGGTCTCTGGAAACATGGTAGAACTGGATCCACCGATTATGGCCGCTGACCTTGTAGGGAGTGCCCAGTATGCGGACCACTCAATGAAGGAAGGAAGGAGTTTCCGTCGGTCAGTACAGTCTGTGTCAGTGCAGCAATGTAGAAGCCTAATAATTGTCGTCTTGTGACTGTGCTGTGTTAACAACATGCCACCTGTTCGTTGCAATCTCCTTTCTGGTCATTGATAACGCCTCGTATCACAGACAAACCACCGACGTCTTAATCAAAAGAGGACGAAATGAAAGCCTGGTTATTGGAAATAAACATCCCATTTTGTGACGTGTTCAAAGCTCAAGTGTAAGATTTAATCAAATTAAATAAGTCAAGGCACAAATATTACGTGATTAATCAGATTTTGGCAGACAAAGAACGGACTGTGCTGAGACTTCCGCCGAACCATCCCGATTTAAACCCCATTGAACTTATTTGGGCAGACGTAAAACAATGGGTTGCAAGCAAGAACACAACATTTAAAATTAAGGACGTCGAGCATCTGCGTCGCCAGAGATTCGAAGAATTTGGGCAAGAGGAATGAAAAACCAGAACAGATTTATTGTGAGCAAGAAGGCATAATCGAAGACGCTATTGAACGTATTATAATTGAAGATAATGGAGTGGACGGCAGCAGCGGTTGTGATGAATCGAGTGATAAATCAGAAAGCGATGGTCTGTGAGGAGTGGAAGAATTGGAAGAGGACCGAAGAATTGTGAAGAAGATAAAATTATGTAATTCTCTCTGCAGAGTTCATTGTTTAGTGATATGGAATGTAGTGACATCGACTTTCCTGTGTTGTATACCGTGGTGATATTTTATTAATAGTGTACTTTACGCGGCCTACTGCCTTCCCTTCCAGCAAACGTCTGGTAAGTGACTCGCTCCGAGGTTCCAATTCACAAATTTCAGCAGCCAAAAACGCTGGAACGCAGTATACCTTGGAAGAAAAAACTCTCTGCTCTCCCCTCCCAAAACAGACGAGTATGGAAACATTAATTTATTAGCTGTCACGTTGTTACTAGTTGAAATGATTGCACATAGTTGGTAGTATTACTAATGATAAACAACAACAAGAATAAATAACAAATTAACAAGCTTGTAAAGAATATTCAATATAGGAATATACATGTGCACATGTTTTTCATGCTTTGCTTGCAACGTGCATTTGCTGGGAGTATATCCTTGTCTCGCGAAATAAGTTTGCAAGTATTGTAATTTTTAAACTCTAAAATTAAAATTTTTCATAATTTCCACATTAGGAAGTCTAACATTTAAAATTAATATTTAAACATGTGTCCTAACCTAAAATTTCTTAACCGAACCTAAATAAACGTAACCGAAGATATCATACATTAACTTAACCAAACGAGTCTGTCTTGACTTAACCGAAACTCTCTTGTCCTAAGCTGTTCGAACCTAATCTGTACCAACTGAAACAAACTTAAAACACACAGACACTTGGGCTGATTCCCACTTACATCAGTACGAACCACGATTGACAGAGTAACCACGTCAGACATTCCAAGAATGCATAACAGTGGTTGCCAATTGTAAACATTCAGATTCCCACTTTGGCCACGAGATCGCAGCACCTCAATGTCCAACTCACGACTTTCCGCATCCGTCATATTGTTATCACCACTCGTAAGATATTCAAAAGCACGAATTTTAGGTCGTTCAAAATGGCACAATATCCGTACCAAATTTCATCCCATTCCGTTCAGTGGTGTACAGCCCTGCAGTACACGAAATAAGATGAGCGATGTCTATCGAAACATCTGAGTGGCGTTACAAATTCTGACACAGTTGCCGGCGGTGAGCGCAATTTTTTCAAAGCCGAAACTAATCAAAAACGTGATTTCAGTTTACAGTGACGGACGATAGGCTGAAAAAACTTGCTGCTGTTATTTTCATTCCCAGAAGCCTCGACGTTTCAGCAGCAGCAAGTGGCCGCATAAGAAGAAGTTTAGAAATCCCCTAAACGACTCAAAAAGTGCACTTATGCTAATTTGACTAATTTTGGCACAAACTTCGAAAAAGGCCTAAATGTTTGTACAGTAAAATCATCTCGGGCTATCAGCCGCGTCATGAAGAAACCGACGTTTCGAGGTCCATCCACTTGACACTTGACGCGGTTATGAGCTGTCTTCACTCGCCTGTGCTCCGTTGTTTTGTTTTTGTTCCAGCGGCGTACTGTTTCGCTGTGATCTTGAATCATGCAATTTGGTGACTGCTACTAGAGATGGAATCTTGAAAGAATCGATGAAGATAAGCGGAAGTAGTAGAGGAAAGGAAATAGTGGTACGAAAAAGGCACACGACTTCTTGTTTTCCGATGCTGACAAAACTTGAAATGGCTGCAAAGTTTTTGAAATATAAAACGTAATGAAAATTATTGAAGTCGACCAATACTTACATGCCAAGAGACAATTCGTGACGAAGCTACTAGGCGTTCTCTGCAAGTTCTTATTGCGAATTCGCCTAAACATTTTTCTTTTTCTCCCTTCTTTAATCTGTTTCTCTTTTTGTCTGTATATTTTCCTGATTTCGTGCAGGACAACAGACCATTGAAGGTTTAGACAAGCATCCATGTCAGAAGCGGGATTCAAACCCATGATTTCAGTAAGAATACGGCTTAAGACCAGCGCCTCAGATGGCACAGCCTTTGTGGCCAGCGCAAGCGAGCCTTCGCTGTCAACTTGAAGTCGCTTACTATTTTTATGAGATATTCGAGGTAACTAACAAGAAGGAACGCGAAAAATAACAAAGAAACAGTAAATTTTCGGCACCTCATATTTAGGCCAGCTTCATCTCGCCCCATCACCTTTCTCTAGGTGCCCCGCCCTGTCTGCAGCAAACCGGCATGTCTTGATCTTTATATTCATCTGCAAAGCAAGTAAGTCGTAGTGTGATGAACGGGGTACTCCGACTCCAATTTTTCGTCCTAAGAAAGGCCAGGCCTTTGTGTTGTACAAGGTACAAAATGCTAACGTGATGTGACTGTTTCTTGTATTCACTTCTCATGAACGTAACGCGTTTCTGGGAACCTTCTTCGTCCTGTCATAGGCACACTGACATGGTTTGTCTGGTTCTAGAATGTCATGGCGGGGTTTGAATCCTTCACCTTCATAAAGGCGCGCAGTGAAAGTAGTTCCTTCTCTGAGGTCGACTGATTTATATTTTACACTTTAAAGAATTATTTAAATATGTTTTCAAATGTAAAGCATTGACACTCGTGCACAGTATTAAGATTTATCCTTTATGATGGAAGTACGAGGCTCGTCCACAAAGTAAGTTTTCCTGGGGCCGTTTACAGAAACAAAACACAATTTCATGGAAATATGTATTGCAACAGATACAGCAAGTGTCCAGCTATTTTTCAACATATTCGCCACCGGAATTGAGACATTTGTCATACCGTGGGACCAACTTTTGAATACCTGTGTCGTAGAAGTCTGCCGCCTGGGATTGGAACCACGGTGTGACACCCATCTCCGCCTCTCTGTCATTCTCAAAACGCTGACGCTGACCGGACAGGAATTTCTTGAGGGGTAGGAAAAGATGGAAATCACTGGGAGCGAGGTCCGGGCTGTAGGGTGAATGATCAAACACCTCCCAGCTGAACTCCTGCAGGAGACTTGCTGTCCGTCGAGCCGTGTGCGGCCTAGCGTTATCACTGACCGCACTTCACAGTCGGCGGGAGCTGGAATAAGAACCTCCATCTTCAACAGCTGCAACGATGCTACTGTGAGAACGCGGGAGGTGCCGTTAGTGCATGCGCCATGCTACGTCATTGCTCTATCACGTACGCACAGTCGCTTCGCGCAATATAAGGTTTGCTAGCTGTGGGACGAGTGGGAAACTTACTTTGTGGACGCGCCTCGTAATACGATCAGGGAGACGTTTTGGAGAATATTAAAAAGATCCTGGCTATAATAATTCGTAGGTGTTTATAGATATTTTTATTCTGTCCTGAAGGAAGAGAGTTTTGAAGTAAGAAAACTAATACCCTATTTTACCACCCGGACGTATGTGACGTCATGTCATGTGTCGTTGTGCTGGTCAAGGCCGTTTTCTAGGCAACACGGAGTTTTCCTCCGGGGGCTTCCCCGGTTTCTCCTTGGCATCCCAACAATTACTCCATTCACACACGGAAGAAGGCAATGGCAAACCACTTCTGGATCATCTGCCAAGAACGTATATGAACAGGTCCCAGTCCGAGAAAAGGATGGAAGGATCCTGTTCATATGGACCTGTCGTCAGACAGAACACTAAATAAATAAATAATAAAAATATAAATACGCGAAGGAGTGTTTTAAAACATTCGAATCGTGCACTTCAACAGGCAAGAAACAATTTTGTTTTCGACATAGGAGTGTAATGTCGTTTGTCCTATAAAGTACCGGTATATTATTATTGTTTGCAGATTTAGTAGAGTTTAATTACGGGATTGTACTTTGAACATCAACACAAAAATGAGTTCGGAATGATGTTGGCAGGGTTTGCAGAAGACACTCTTCTGTAGTCTTTAAAGTTGATAACGCTGTAGTTTTATGTAGAATTATAATATACTCCGGTAAAGTGTATAAAAACTGCATTTTTCAAATGACACAAGCTACTTTTTGTTGCCGGCCTTTACAGGCTAGATAGATAAGTTTTGTTACTTATCGAAGGACTATCTGCTGCCGATGTCTGCCTGCAGACCACTGTCTGCTTTGTGCGCCCGGCTGAATGCCATCACACGTAGTGATTGACCCAGTCTGAAACCAGGGCATCAAGGAATTTTACGGTACCAGCAATTAAATGAATGCGATTAAGTCTCAGAATCACTTGTAGTTGATTGAGTGAATATTTGAATAATGAGCAAATCGATGGTCGAAAAGATGGCTGATCGAGAAAAAGAAAAGTATTCAGTTGCTAATTTATGGAAAGAAACTGAGACCAACGATCAACAATATTTGCACGACTGTTTTCGTGCGAATAACGAGTTATTTCAAAGTCTGCTCGATGTAAAGCGACAAAGAATCGACGAAAGCTCTAAAATATGTAATGCTCTTAGCAACGGTAATTGATACTTGTAATTATTAGGGATCTTCAATTGCTGACACAACGCCTCACAATTTTCGCTCAGTTGCCCGGCTTCCGCGGGTTACTAGCGAAGGCGTCTTGCACAGTTGTGATTGCTTCTCCTAGTGGAACAGACAGTTTCAACACGGCTAAATAAAGTCTAGAATTAAATACGAACCTGAGCCAGTTCCATCTACCACGAGTCCCCCTCACAGTCCATTTTCCTACGACATCGCATTCTTGTCTTGCAAGTGGTCATTTCGCAAGAAGTTCCTCCGCCGATGTACTTGAGTGCGCTCTGTTCTTGCAGAAGTGAGCGGAACCGCAGGGAGGAAGATGACGACCCAGCAGTGTCAGCCGGCGCACCCCGTGCCCCAATTCCGCGACGCGGACCATTACCGCAGCGCCCTCAGCCCACTCTGCACCACCGACGGCAGCCACGAGATCATCCGGCCCAAACCTCGCAGGTCAGGAAGTCGCATGCCCTCAGTCACCCTTCTCTTACAGCAGATATATTTTTATGTGTTTGATTATTCTTGCCGACAGTTAATCTGAAGGGCCCCAAGTTGTCTGGGCGCCTACTGAGGAAATGGTGAGTCGGAGATTATAACTCTTTGTTTCTACTCAGGACTACGAAAGCTTGCAGGCAACAGGACTGCACATCAGAGGATTTTATCTACAATTTAATGATGACGTTTCGATCTGTTCAAACATTCTATCATCGCTTCCGCCGTCTAGTTCGATGTTGGGGTTTCACCGCCAGGTCTTCAAACTTCACTGAGAGACGTTTTCTTTTGGCCCATCGCCTTTGACCTTTCCTGCTAGAAAGTACTTTTATGCTACGTTACCATTTGTTTCACTGAGGCGTGTGTGTGGTGTCGGCGCCGAAGGAACCGTTCCTGAAAGCAAACAAAATGTTCTTCAAGTCACTGATCAAGAAGAATCTCTGTTCGTGGACGTTCGGTGCTAGACACAACAGAAGAACGTAGAGGATTTTCAGACCCTTAGTTGAATGTACATTTTGGGGGGGCGTTTGGGGGGGGGGGGGGGA